TTCCGTACGTCTCCTGTGCTTAGCTTGTATGTGGAATCTCATCAGATGTCCCTTGCCAAGCGACGGCAATATTTAGGCCTGAGTTATGCTTCCCGGATTATGTCGGACCTTGACCATCCAACCTTTACTACTTTGCAGCGATCTCGGTATACCCGCCTTTTTGAGAACAAGTCGAGGACGGTCAGACCTTTAAGTTTTCGTGTGGGAAGTGATCAGGAATCTCTTCAACTCGACCTTAATGGGATTGAACTCCTTAAGAAGCCTCTACGTATTGCACCTTGGGAGCTGCTTCCAGTTTCTTGTGACTGGACGTTTACACGGTTCAGCAAACATAGTGTTTCTCCACTTATTATTCAACAAGAATTTGTTGAGCTACAAAAGAAATACAGCAACTATGTTCACTTTTATACTGATGGATCCAAGAACTCCTTCTTTGTAGGAACTGCCGTTTACTCTAAAGAATTTACAAAGGCCCAACGACTTGAAAGCATGGCTAGTATTTTCACTGCAGAGCTCTATGGCGTATTGATGGCTATTGAATACATCATGGCAAGCAAAACTATGAAAGCTGTTCTCTTTGTGGACTCACAAAGTGTTGTTTCGGCTCTCTGCTCAATAAAAGATACCAAAAATAAGCTAGCCCAATTAGTGCGATTTAAAATCAATAGTTCCTTAGTTCGTGGCCATGATATAAAGTTTTGCTGGATCCCCAGTCATGTTGGACTTTTGGGCAATGAAAAAGCAGACCAGTTGGCTACCTCCACAAAAAATCTCACGGTGACCTCTACTGGCCTACCCTACCAAGATGTGAAGCCCCTGATTAAAAAAGCACTCCTCCGAACGTGGCAGTCTGAATGGGACCAAGAAAGTGAAAATAAGCTCCATGTGGTAAAACCAGGTTTAGGATTGTGGGAGAGTGCATCTCATGAAAATCGCTTTATCAAAGTTCTCCACTGCCGCCTTAGAATTGGACACAGTTTCTTGACACATGGGCATCTCCTTTGTGGAGGGGACACTCCAGTCTGTGAGCACTGTGGCGAATCACTAACGGTCCTTCATATTCTATGGCTTTGTTCTGGTCTTGAGCAAAACCGACGCGCTTGCTTCCCGGAATTTTTCGCATACAATATTCCTTTCCATCCTGCACTCTTAGTGGGTGAGCATCCCATCATTCCCTTTAATCGTGTCATTACATACCTAGAACAAAGTGGTTTTTTACGTCGATTTTAACTTTCATATCCCTTTTCACCTTCTACCAATAACAAAACTTTTGTTGCAGAGCTGATTTCACAGTAAGCCTTTCAAAACTATTACTCTGAGCAAGATTATTACACCTGTTTGGCGCAGTATGGCCTTCGTCGCTTTTGCGCCAGTAAACCACCAATACAACAACATCTTTTTTGATCAGCGTCCTTTTGGATGTGGAAACGCTGACACTTCGAGTCTTGTAGACAACAATTTTTATACTTGGCTTTACAGCCACCTATCGCAAAGTTGTTCGGTCTGGGAGCACCGCCAACTGGTCTCTTTCTACCCGTAAAGTGTGCAGCTCCCGCGATGAGTGGTATTATCTTGACAGCCTTTGACGCTCAAAACCGGATCCCATTTAGTTACGCCGCCCAAACTAAATTTCCACCTGGTTCCGCTGTGCCACCTCTTTTTGGTATAATAAGTGTGGGTCATGTCAAAGTACCTGTGTACCGAAAATCAGCACCTCGCACAACAGCTTACTACACAACAGCTGACTGCAAAAGCTTTTGACGACCAAACCATGTGTTCGCCGACAATTTTGTTTTCTCGGCTTTGGAACCACCTATCGTAAAGTTGTTTCAATTGTAAGTACAATTCACTAGTCCCTACCTGTAAAGCCTCCACCTCCCACGACGAGCGGTATTCTCTTGACAGCCCTTTCATGGTCAAAACAGGCTCCCATTGAGTTAGGCCGCCCAAACCGAATTTCCACCTAGTTTCCCTATGCCACCTATTTTCGGTATGATAAGTGCTGTGCCATGTTACCGTCAAGTCCAAGCACCTATCTACCCAAATCTGCACTTTGCAAAGCCCGGTTATGACACAACTTTTGGGTCCAATATTGGATATCCCGTACAGCTTTATTTCTTTATTCGTTAGAAACATAACTTTCACACTTGCTGTCTTAATGAAACTTGGCACAGTTTGTGCACAAACTTGGTGAACATCTCACTCGCCTCCAAATATCATTGTTCCAGCAGTCCTACGTTTACAGTGACGTGCGAAATAAATTTCCCACTCAGAGCAATTATGGTGGCGGCCGTCTTGCTTTTCGGAAAATTGCTCCAACTCCTTTTTTGGCCGCAGCTAGAGAAATTACCCCTAATAACGACTCAAAATTAATATGTAAGAAGTGGAGAACAGCTAAATGCCCTTCTTAGGTCTGCCCCAGCACTCGTGCAACGTCACCCTCAACGTATCGGCTCAAAAAGCAAAAAGGCTCCGCAGGCTGCCGAACGCGCCTCACTGTCGAATGCCAGCTCCTCCGCTAGCGGTGCTACGCGCGTTTTTCAAAGCGCCCCTATAGTTCCCGCACGGAGCGTATAGACGCTTAGCGGCTACATGCAACGTTTCATCCATGACATCCCCAGCCCTTGAGTTACTACCACATCTCAGAGCCCCCTACTCACCCCGCAGTCGTGGCCGAGTGGTTAAGGCGATGGACTAGAAATCCATTGGGGTCTCCCCGCAGAGGTACGGATCCTGTTGACTGCGCAAACATTTTTTTCTTTTTTTAAAAAGATGGGATGGCAATCGATGTGAGCACGGACGCCAGACAAGGCTAGACCCTAAGGAGCTTCGCCCCTAAAACAACTTTTATTGCCGGGCTTGACTGATGAAGCTGGGCTTTGCGGACCCCAAAGGGTCCGCGACTCCCCATTTGAGAATCACTGCTGTAGGACGTCATCCTCGACGTCGCCCTAGATGCCGTTCTTGACGTCGTTCTTGAGGTCGTTTGAGAGATCATCCTCGGCATCGTCCTTGACGCCGTCCTTGATGTCGTCCTAGAGGTCATCCTAGACGCCATACTATACTTCCTAAACTTTAATATGGGTAGAAATATAACTAAAACATTTCTTCTGCAGGACTATAATGCTTTCACCTTCTTTCACGTAAGCAGTCTTAGTGTCCTCCTGTAATTTTTTACATCTGTCTGGCACAAGGAGGGGGGCACATTTTTCTGCAGGCCTCTGCAGATTTCGTTTAGATTTTGGCGTTATGGCTAGAATCAAAGATCACGTTTCTCAACCACATATTATCGCTCCAAGGCAGTACGATCGAGCACTCGGTTCGAGCAAGGTTGAGAATCTTGGATCCCGATGAAGATCGACACCTCGGTTGAACAAATGCCAAGACAGCATAAAAAAGTTTGCGACTGCCCTTGAAAATGCTTTTGTTAACACATATACTCGTTCACGCGGGTCCTTCTATAAATGCGCTGACGTACGTGCAAAATAGGAAAGTGAGTGCCTCATTGCTCAAACTGCGTAAAAAAAAAAAGAACTCATCTTGCAGCCAAGTGGCACGTAGGTAGCCAATAGTTTGAGCAAAACAAAAGTAGACAAAAGTTGCACGAGCACTTGTAAACTACGGCAGAGGCGGCTCCGGATTCGTCGTGCCCCTTCCTCCGCCACCGCTCTGCACATTCTGTTGGCGTGGTCCAAATAATTTGCTAATGTGCAACCTTGTGTCTCGATGGCGCTACATGACTATGTTGCTGCCCTACAGGCTTTCTACGCAGCAACGTAGTCACTTAGCGGCATCTAGACACAATGTTGCACACTAGCAAATTATTTCAACCAACAACCTAGAATGTGCGGCCCGGTGACAGCGGGTGGGCGCGGCAGCAATGTCAACCGTCACTGCTGCCGCATTATTTCTGTTCTCTACGCGCGTCACTTAAGAGCGGTAGTTTACGATAAATCGATTACTTTTCACCTAGAAAATTCATAGTACCAATCATTGGTGCTTTTTGTCGTTGTGCAATTGCTTCGTAATACAGATATTTGTTAAGCAGGAATTCATTGCAGTAGGCAGAGAAATACATTGAATACATAGGAGATTGGCCGATACTTTATTTTAGTTGGTTGACCAAGCGTTTTCGTAGCGGAGGCATTCGCTTAAAGGCTTTTGACCGTATTACTCCACAGGGTTGATAATTGTTTATACTACATAAACCCACTAACCTACTTTCTTGTTCCAAAAAATTGTAGTAGCTTATCATTTGTTTTGTCTCACTTTTTTAGCTAAACTTTTGAGGCAATGCATTTTCATCGGCAACTGAACTTTGTCCATTAATGTGATGCCCCTCTGTGTTTACCAACATAGTAAATGTGCTAATTGCTCAAACTGGCCATACAGTAGGTAAAGTCGTCTCGTAGCATGACCCGCTGACTCTTGTCACATATTTTTTACAGCGATAACTGTTATGGGCTGTTCACACCACTGGAAGTGACGTCCGTTGTTGATGTTGTAGTTGTAGATTTTATCATTGTTGATGTTGTAGTTGGCGTAGTAGGGCGTCCGTCGTCGATGCTGCCAAATTCTTAAAAAAGATTGCCCGCTGAAGTCTCACATGGGTCTGCTGCGTGCAAAGTGGAGGTTTACCGCAGAGCTAAGCCGCAGCACTAACAAGCCCACTTTATGCATAAAGTTTTTGTAGTATCCAACGCCCACTAGACTCACTCTTTGAAAAAAAAAAATATAGCCGACAACAAATTGTTGTGGCATTGTCAATGTCAAGAGCTTCTGCCGAGAGAAGCGTGTTTACGCGCTTCCGAAAAAAAGAAAAAAAGTTTGGAACAAAATGGTTGAATGTCTCTTTTGTTCCGAATGCTTTTGTTGACGCACCCCACAGTGCGTGAACGCGATGCCGGTGCCCTACGACTTTGCCGTGGCATGTCTCAGCTATCACTGTGACAGTACTGTAAATTAACGCAGGACTGCTTTTTTTTTTTTTTTTTTACCAGGAGTGTGAAATTGCTCTACTATCGTAAGATGCACCAACGTGGCAAGCAGACAATGTCCTCGTCTGACGAAGCGCCACCGAGCGAGAGCAAGTGCATTTCCAGTGCTGCACCAACTTTGGACTTCTTTGGTTGATGAGGTAAGGGAATTTTGGCTGTGCCCTTCGTGTTTCCTCATGTAAGTCTCCTTGCTCATTTCTGCAATGTCAGCAGTCAGAACCTACACTTAGAAGCAAGTTTTCCTAGACTTTTGATACTTCGCAGAGCGGTGTATTTTATTAATTGTATGGTGACGAGATCGGTGTACCATTCGCTGCGCCAGAGTGCTTACCCGGCTGCATCCTGCTCCATCTCGACAAAATGTGACGAATTTGCACCTACGTTGTACTAATAGTAATTTCACTTTATTAATGCTGAAAGTAAAATGGCCGAAGACCCGCTAAACGGTCAGGTCGTTACGGTAGACTCGTTTGAACTTTCGGAACTTTTGGTTCCGCAGACGCAATTATAGTGCTCGATTCGATCTCTGTATGAGATACTCACCATGCTCGGAAGTCGTGCCATATTCATGTTCGTGGTCTGTTCTGATGGGTCAGGTGACTTCAGTTTGAGTGCGCCTCTCACTGCGCACTGGTGCACTGCGGCGATGCGAAGACCGTGGAGTAGTCATCGCAATTCTTTGTGTTGGGTTTCACTGCAGCGTAGTCACATACTAAGGGGAAAGTACTTCTCCAAAACGAGGCGTAGCATATGCGAGCATCGGGTATAAATTAGGGGTGTGCGAATATTCGAGATTTCAAACACAAATCAAATATTTTTACAGCGGAGCTGTTAAGGGCTAGTTTCTCTAGTATGGTGTCTGCAGGCAAACAAATGTCCACACAAAACTCCGAACAGCTACCGCCATCTATGAGCGACGGTGGCAACCAGACAACCGGCTTGCCAGTTGTCTCGTTGCCGCTGTTACTGATGGATGGCGGCAACATTTCCAGGCCTTTCCTCTCTGGTTTTCTTAAGTTTCTCTAGGCGTCGTCGTTGAAGTCGTCCTCGAGGACGACGCCTAAAGAACGACATCCTCTAGGCGTCCTCCTCAAGTTCGTCTGTGATGCCGTCCTAGATGTCGTCCTTGAGGTTGTCCTAGTAATCCTTGAGGTCATCCTCAAGGTCGTCCTAGGAGTCATCCTTGAGGTCGTTCTATACATTGCCCTCGAGGTCGTCCTAGACGTTGTCCCTGAGGTCGTCCTAGGTGTCCTCAAGGTGTCGTCCGAGAAGTTGTCCAAGAAGTTGTCCTTGCGGTCGTCCTAGACGTCCTCTAGGCATCGTCCTAGACGTAAAGATAACAGCTTTGCTGGTCCTTCATCTTCACGTTAAGTGGAAGGCCTCTACATTTTTTTTTTTATTTGATTCATGTTCGATTCAGAAATTGCACATTCGGAAACTTTCAGAATGTTCAGTTATGGCTGAATATTCGGACAATGTATGAATATTCGGGCAAATGGCAACTGATCCGCTTGCAGAACGGGCCCCTAACCTCAGAGCTTCCTTAAAAGCTGCGTTGAGTCGTAGAAAATTGCGGGTACTGTAGCCATTTTTCCTATAAACCCTCGCTGTTCACGTCATACGTAGAACTACCGTGTTTGCACAATCTAACGCGCCCCCAAATCTAACGTGCAGGCAGATTTAGCTCCCAAGTATTCGAAAAGTAAACTACGGCCGACAATCTTGCCGCGCAGGTAAAATATTTCATTTCATTCATTTCATTTCATTTATTTACACCTTAAGGGCCCGTGAAGGGCATTACATAAGGGGGGGGGGTATTCAAGTTTTATACAACAGAGAAACGCAAGTACAAGAAAAAACAGAAAAGGAAACTAAAACACACTTAACACACTCAACACACTCAGGTCTGCTCAAAGTTACACAACTCATAGCACTAGTACGACGATAAATGAAGTTTAATACACGATAGAAAATTAATCGGATCCACAATGGTGACAATGGACGATGGGAGGTTGTTCCAGTCGCTGATGGCCTGAGGGAGGAATGATCGATTGAATGCGTTTGTAGAGCCTGAAATACGCTTGATCGTACATGTGTTGTTAAGGCGTGAAGATGTTCGGTCGGGGGGTGATAGCAACTCATTTTTAAGGACTGGAATGTGGTAGTAGATTTTATGAAGAAGGCAGAGCTGAGAGACTTTCCTGCGGAGCTGCAAAGAGGACATAGTTAGTTGACTTTTCAAGGCGGAAACACTAAATGAGTGATCATAAGTAGACAGGATGAAACGAGCAGCCCTGTTTTGAACTGCTTCGAGGTTGTTAATTAGGTAAATTTGATGGGGATTCCAGATGGTAGCGGCGTATTCTAATTTAGGTCTGACGTACGTGTCGTACGCCAGTTTTCGAACCAGGGGAGGTGCGGATCGTAGGTTACGTCTTATTAGTCTATTAGTCCAAGGGTCCTTGATGAGTCAGCAGTAATGGCTTCAATGTGATTATTCCAGGAGAGGTCGGGTGTTAGTCTTACACCAAGATATTTATACTTAGAAACATTCTCAATTAAGTCGGAGTCCAGGTAGTATTGGTAGGACAGTACAGATTTTTTCCTAGTGAAGCGAATTAGTTTGCATTTAGATTTATTTAACGACATCAACCAGTCATCGCACCATTTGTTAATTTTAGATAAGTCACTTTGAAGTTGGTCGTTATCTTGCACACATGTTACTTTGTTATAGACGACGCAGTCATCTGCAAATAGACGTATTTTAGAGGAAATATTGCTAGGGAGGTCATTTATATATATTAAGAATAACAGAGGCCCTAAAACAGACCCCTGCGGAACATTAGAAGTCACGTTTGTTAGGGATGATTCTTGGTCATTAATTGATGTTAGTTGCACGCGGGACGAGAGAAAGTCACGTATCCATGAAAATGTGAGTGGGTCAATGTGTAGAGATGACAACTTAGAGAGTAGGCGTTGATGAGGGACACGGTCGAAGGCTTTTGAGAAATCAAGAAAAACGGCGTCAGTCTGAGTATGACATTCAAGGTTAGTGTGTAGGTCATTAACAAAATCACAAAGCTGAGTCTCGCAGGAAAGTCCCTTTTGAAAACCGTGCTGCTGCTTGAAGAAAAAAGAATTACTTGCTAGGTGAGACATGATATGGAAGTAAAGTATATGCTCTAGTAATTTGCAAGAGATGGAGGTTAATGATATTGGGCGATAATTAGACACAGAAGAGCGACTACCCTGCTTAAAAAGGTTGAACGCATACCTCAAGCCTACGCAAAAATAAATATTGTCGCCGTTGTCGAAGTTTGACTATGGTTCTTCGCTGTGCACAAAGGTAATCCTTGCTTTCGTCTAAAGTGTTTTAGGTGCCGCATTTCTCTCGCTTTTACGAGTGCGCGACTATCGCCTTTGGGAGGGTTGTCTTCCAAAACAACACTCGGGTTGCTGGGATTGCGAGATTGCGAGGCTGCTCGGGTTGCTGGGATTGCGAGGCTGCGCAGTGCTACTCCGCTGGTATCTTTTCCCGCCAGCGTGATGGCCTTTCGTTTAAATAAAACCTCCTTGCAGAATTTTCGTTTTGTTTTTCCATCTTAATGACAGACACGAGACCGTAGAAACGGGAGAATTCGCGTGATACTACAGTAAAACCTCGCTATAACAAAATGGGATATAACAAACTAATGGATATAACAAAGCAATCATAATTCCCCTTGATTGCTTATAGTGGGAAGAAATGGACATTGGCTATAACAAACTAATGGTTATAACGAAATAATTACGACCGCTCCTTCAACTTTGTTATAACAAGGTTTTGGTGTATTACCAAAATGGTGAAGGTAGACAAACGGTCACAGTGGCATTGGGGCTAGTCACCTGATACCGAGTATAGCGTTTTTCTCTTGATTTTCGGTTTTTAATTTCGATTGTAACGCGCATATATTTTAGGCACCGATTTCGCCGAAAAAAAGTGTGCGTCAATTGTGCAAACGGGCATCTATTAAAGGGGCCCTGCAATCATATTTAAGCGTCTACTTTTTTTGCGGTTTCCACGTCTCTTGGGGTTTGGGCAAGCCAGCGGCCACGGAGAGAGTAACTAAATATCAGTGCGTCATATTTTAACCGGACGACGCGGAAACCTCCTCCACCGACGAGGGCGACCCGCGGTACCGAAAGCACACAAAATGTGACGTCTTTGGTCCTGGGCTTGCTACAGGTCAGAGCCTCTAAAAGCTTCTTTTTAGTCGAAATACAAAATATAAGTGGCATGAACCGTTTAAATTATTTATAAAAGTAGTTTTTGTTCAGTATTTTAGATCAGAAAAAAAAAAAAAAAGAACGAATGCAATTCATAAATTACGGAAACTAGAAATGGCCCGTTGACATAGCCGCCACCAAGCGGCGGAAAAAGCGACGCATACTAGAAAGGAGTAGTGGGATCAGGCGCCGACACGGAAAGGTCCCGGATGTACGCGGCGGCGCTGCGGTCGTATGGGCTGGAGGATCCGACCGGCTTCGAGCATTCCGAAGGCCTTCAGTGGGAAGCTTTGTCTTGCGGTTTGGCCGTTTCGCAGTATGGCAGCGCAAAGTGGCTCCCATTCTGAACTGATCTTTACCCCGTGTTTGCTGTCGTTTGTGGCCAATAAAGTGTCATGCCGAATTAGTATTTAATCGCGCAGCAAATGCAATGAGAGCCTCTCTGTCTGCCCGCTGCATACAGCCTATGCAGGACATGCTGTAGTGGCGCCCTCTCGCGCTGTCGACACAGAGTGCAGCAGTCGTGAGCGCTCGATAACCTCACTACCCCTCCTCTAGTTCACGGCCACTCTCAAGCAACCAAGGACGTCACGAGGGAGGTTATTTTTTGCTTGTTTTTGCAATTTTAATTTGCCTATAACTTCTAAAATAAAGGGAATTTCGAGCAAAGAAAAGTTTCACTAAGTTACTATGTTCAGTGCACTCAGGTTCGGTTCAAATTAAAAACCAGTAAAACATTCCTTGCGGGGGGGCCCCTTATAGTCACGACGGAGGAGCAGTTTTGGTTGCATTGCGAGTCGCTTTTCTAGTGACCTTATACCGTATTTGCACGAATATAACACAAGTTTTTTTGTTTTTTTTCAAAATTACATGCTCCAAAACGCCTTTCGCGTTATGTTTGGAATCTAATTCAGCCACGAACCGCGTGAGTATGGAGAAAGCCGTCCCTCCGGCTTAATGCGGGAGATTGGGTGAAAAAAGAAGGGGGGGGGGGGGGGGATTTATTAGCTACTGGGCCACGTGAAGGGGAGAATAGAAAATATAAAAAGAATTTTTATCACTTTCGTGTTTGCACAATGCACCCCGAAAAACACGCAAAACAGTGCGCCATGCGGGAATGCGGGCACCGGCCAATTCAAGTCAAATTAGGCCAGGCCAAGACCACCCACTGTGTTTAAGGAATCAAGCAACACAGGGTGTTTGTTTATACGGAGGGACCAGAACAAGAATGAGTAATCGTGTGTCAGTCCCAGCAGTCTTTCTTCTGCCTGCGCATTTTTTAGTTTCTGCTCCAGAGTGGTCTGCTGTTTGTGTGTTGGTGCTTCTACTTTGCGCCTTGCTTTGCTTGTGGGCTGCCGTGGAGCTCACGCCGAAGAAAAAGGAACTACCAAACAAGCGACGCCGTGCTGCTGCATATCTGCGAAGTTACCAAGTGGATTGCAAGTGGAAGGAACTGAGCGGTTAGGATGAGTGCAGTCAAAGCATAAACTGATATTTCTTCAATATCCATTGCCTTTTCACTTCTGCTATGCCCTTGCTTGCGGTAAATGTATGCGGCCTTGGCTCGCGTTATTATAGTAGAATCTTTTAGGGGCGAAGCTCCTTAGGGTCTAGGCTTGTCGGTCTGGCGTCCATGCTCACATCGATCTTGCTGGTGCTCGTGCTCATGAGCTCACGTGCTCGTGTAAAACAAAAAAAAAAATTAAAAATTAAAAAAAAAAAAAAAAAAATGTTTGCGCAGTTGACAGGATTTGAACCTGTGCGGGGAGACCTCAATGGATTTCTAGTCCATCGCCTTAACCACTCGGCCACAATTGCGGGACAAGTAGGGGGTTTTGAGATGTAGTAGTAACGCAAGAGCTGGGGATGTCATGGATGAACGTTGCATATAGCTGCTCAACGTCTATACAGGAGAGGGCGCTGCGGTCAAATGCGTATATAATTGCGTTAAACTTTGCGTGCATTGGCTCAACGTTTCTAGACGAGAGATGTTCAAATGCGTATATAACCACATTCCATACCACACATTCTCTTTCTGACATGGATGAAAATGAACAAAAGGCTCGGCATGCTGTGGCTCAGTGTCTACGCAGACAAGCACCGCCAGAGCTTTGCCCCAATCAACATCATTCACCTTGTGGAGATGCGGTCAATTTTGTTTTTTTGAGCACATCAAAACGTGCCCTCGCATTATATTCGTGGTCGCGTTATTCGCGCAAATACGGTATACATAATAGACTGGAATATTCTCATGATTTTTTGTTCAAATTAGAGATTTAGCGAGGGTACTTTTGTATTCTGGGAAGATTTATGTAAACTTCTTTATGAACTTATTTTTTACGTCATCTTTCTGGTTTAGTTATTCCCTTCACATAGGTTCCATCTGTGCGATGGCATGGTGAACGGAGTAGACTAAGCTCAGCTGGATGACCCTAATGAGTTTCATTACATTACTTCTAAGGCTTATTTATCATTCGAAATAGAGATTTCTGTTATGAAATCCTACGTATAAATTGTCATTGATATAATAATCAAGTGACAAAAAGTTTGTTTTCATCTGAATTAAAAATTTCCAGTTGTATTACAACTTTTACGACTTCAATGAACCATCAGCTTGGGGTGCTCAATAATATTCTGTTTTAAAGTGATTTTCGTGGAATTTTGGTTTACCTTTGACTCTGTAGCTAAAATAACCATTCGCAGCAGTTCATACAGTCTTTTATTCAGAATATGGTTGTCGTGCATGGTACTTCTACAGCCAATAGCTAGTTCGGTGTCTGAGCAAATCAAACCTGTCATGCAATTGATGATAACACAAAGTTGCACTGAATTATGGGAAGGCAAAGTAGACAATGTCTCTTGGTGGACTGGCCAACACATTAATCTTAACATATAATATTTGCAGTAGTAAGTGTAAAAATTAAGTGTAGGTAAACTTATGCTCTAAAAGTTACATTTGCTGCTTCAAAATGACTGCAACATATTGAAGCCACGGAAAATGGGCCAGGACGTTAGTTACTTCGTTACCTGTGCATTTTTGTGGAGGAGTTTGTTATAAAGGCATCTTACTGTAACCTTAGATTGTAACAGTATTCTTTGCATGCTTTTCTGTGAAGGTTTCGTTGAGCTGCTTGGCTACTCGGTGTCTATCATCCAGAGAAACTGATGGGGTCATGAAGGCCAGCGTCTCCAGCCGTCTGCTCACCGCATGCCCAAGAGCAGCAAGACTTGGCAATGCGTCCGCCTATCCAGTGAGGGTCGCCTGGCCGCCAGATCGTCCTCATCAGGAAAGGCAGGCACAGCAAGTATGCCGACCCGTTGCAGCTGTACTGGGAGGGCAGCAGTTACCATCTTGTCATATGGAGTGAGTAAACAAACTTGTAAAGTGCCACATTTACTTGTTCACAAGAGACTCTTGGTCCTTCAGGAGTCACTTTGTTTTGATTTTCGGCTCATTCGAGATGGGGGGACAGTTCTGGCAGTTGTATGTACAGTGCTTTGGGAAGGAAACCGTTGCATATAAATTCAAGGGGTACCGTGTATTGCCGCGTATAAGACGATCCGAATATAAGTCGACTCCCCCTAATGTTAGACAACCGCCAACCGAAAAAAAGTTTTTTTTTTTAAAGATGCAAGTTATGCCACATGAATATCACATTTATTCACATAGAGGTAGGTGAGGTCTCCCTATGGGCTTGTGTCTCACTCGTCGTCGCTCGTCACAAGGACGCAGTCATTGCTGTCGCTGCCTTGTGGGTCAGCGGGGCCGTACGGGGGAAGTGGCGTTGAAATCCCGCACTTGGAGAACGCTGCACGGACCATGTCCGCAAACAGCCCATACCAGGCATCGTTCACCCACTGGGACACAGTGCTCAACGACGCAGGCTTCACACTACCTGTCGGTGTCTTTGGGTTATCCTCCTGGGCCATCCGCTCGTTGTAGAAGGCCCTGACGCGGTCCTTGAAGGGCTTATTAAGAACCACGTCAAGGGGTTGAACGATGGATGTCATCCCCCCCCGGGATGATGACCAGGTCGCATGCTTCGTTGGCTATAAATCTCCTTGACACGGTCCGTGATGTGTCCACGGAAAGAATCCAGGACGAGCATGCTCCGGGGCTTAAAGGGGGGATGGTAGGGTAAATGGGTCATCTTGGTTCCAGCTTTGTATCTCAAAACCTATTGCATATTTTCACTTGAAATTTTATGAGCTGAATAGTTATACTTCTGGGCTTAACTTCCTGTAGTTTTTTGCTGCAAAGTCTTTTCAGGGGTAGAGCGGCCGCGCCTTTTTGCGCCAGACGCATTTGTCTGCGCCATCCTGCGCCATGTTTCGGAAACTGCGCCACAGCCAATACCTCGCGCCATTATGCACCAAATCGCAAAATGTGCGCCAAAAAAATTTTATTTTGTCTTGGTTTCGGTTTCTATCGTCTCGATTGGCCCCAATAATCGCGTTTAGCTTGGTCGGAATTGCAATCTTTTTTTTTTCTTATTCTCCCTGTGCATCCCGAGTCGTAAGTGTGCGAAAAAGACTCAGGGGTCGGATTCCAAGCGCTACACCACCTGCCACTGGATTGTTATTCTTCAACCATCAGCGGTTAAGCAAGTCGGCCGAGGTGAGGTCGAGTCGTTAAGCGTCAGATTGCCTGAGGCTCTGCGGCCCGGGATCCGGATGTGAGTCAGTTGAAAACAAATGAGCAGAAGATTCTTTTCAGCACTTCATCGGTCGAAGTTGGAACCGCATTCCCACAAGATAAATCGTGATTTGATAGAACTGAAACGTGGTCCGATCCGAAACCTTGCCGGCCAGCAGCTCTCACGCGAGTGGTAGATCTGCTCGGCGTACTTCAACCTTGCTCTTGCTTATCGCTTCGAATATGATAACTCCGTTAATCATAGTCTGCTGCTTCTATTTTGAGTTGCACAATATGAAAAACTCGAAATTTGTTGCCCTGTTCCTCTGCGCAACTGCACGTCCGTTGCTTAAGCATGTCACGTGGTTCGCGCAGATAATCGCTGTCGAGCATCTGTGGGCTGTGCGATAAGCAGTGCTGGTTTCCATTTGGAGCAGCTGAAAGCCACTCAGAAAATATCAAGGCTCAGAAGGTTCCAAGTTTTCGCATCTGTTACACTGTTATGCCATCTGCCTAGGTCCCTAACCGCTCATGTTTATCTGTGCTGCTGAGCACAATTGAAATTGCTCCCGTGCTTGTCGAAGACACAAGCTGAAGTGCAATGAAAACTGATCTGAGCTGCTCCTAGCCTGCTCCAGAAGGTAGTTTTAGCTGCTCCAAAACAGCTGTTTCAGCTGCTCCCGTGGCTGCTCCCAAGTACATTTCATGAGTTCCAGCCCTGCTTTTACACTTCTAGCAATCTATTGTAAAATTTTGGACAGAGTTCTAGTTTTCAATGTACCTTTTCTCAGCAACAAAATATAGGATGCCAGATTCATTTGGCACATATATTCCATATGTCACTAGCTTTAAATCGAACCTAAGAAAGAAGAGTTTGTACATGCAGGACGCAAGAAAAAAAATATTACTCTTACCTGTCATGACCCATAAGAAGAGAACTTTTAAATTTTTATTTTTTTTCAACTTTATAATATGGAGAGTTCTAAGAGGTTTTAGGTTCGGTCTATTGGCAAGGCAGTTTACTGTAAGCTGTAAATGTTTTAGTGCAATCGGAAGAGTAGTTTCTTTGTAAAGGTACATCAAAGTTCAGAAAATGGGCAAAATGGCATTTGAAGAAAAACACAATTTTGTTTCCCCATTTATCGCGAATGTTCAAAAGGCCCCAACAGAATACATGTCTTTTCCTGCTTTCTTGGCATCCCCCAAAGCCTTTCTTCAGGTTCCTCTTCCTTCTGCGTCGTTCCTTACTTTCCGTGGAGCTGCGGAACTCTGCCTTCTCAACACGCTCCTTGTCAAGCCTGCTGAGAGCGATCTCACAAAATACACCTGGTGTGATGCCAAGTGCATTCAAAACAGCATTTCGTGCTACATTTCCATCATCATAGTGAGCCACAGCATCACACGTGGTAATCTTCACTGTGTCCGCACCAACAAATGTCGTCTTGGGGCAGCGGCACCAGATGAGCTCATTGAGTGATTCATTAGTGTTCTGGGTCCTGCCATGGAGGCACTTGCTGAGAAGGCCTGGTGAAGACAAAGCCTGAAACACTGGCTTGATTGCTTCTAAGGCAGCAGTTGGGAGGCTGTCTCTGTGTGAATATGTCTCGGGATTGCCCTCACTGAGGCTACAGTTGTACCCACACCACGATAACGGTCCATTAGGGCACAGTCCGTGGTTTGGCTTTTCGTCCGTGGATAACTTGTGAAAGTATATCGCCCACACAGCCTTTCGCATCTTTTGCAAGCTGTCAGTACAGTGTAGACCGCATATAACGTATGTCGCGGGAGTCGCGAAAATCCGCACTATAAGCGGTACCGCGCTATAACCAAAACATTATTTTTTCGGGCCAAAATACATGCCATGAGACAACTTACCTTTGTAAAAGAATTTATTTTATGTTAGATGAAAAATAAAGCTTAGTTTGAGGAAAGTCTTTATTTCACCAGACTAGTACAGTTCTGTCTCAAGTGTGTCACACATTTTAAAAGAAATTAGCGGCTTTTCCTGGCGCAGCCTTTTAACGGCGTCGCGGGTTGCGGACGGTTGTTGCGAGCGTTCAGTATTGGTAACCCTAATCACTTTTCTCCGGAGATGAAAACGCGTGAAAATTCGCATCCTTCATACGGTACGCGCCAGTAATGCCTTGAACTTGAGCACACGCATGAAATGCGCCAAATAAGAAATCCGGACAATGTTCGAGGACACAAATGCTTAGAAATCACCACTGTAGTCGAAGTAAACAAACACGACGACACGGGCGTTTCTGCCGTCTTGAGAGCGCCGCCACGACATCGCCGCATGAGTAGGTGGATCTTCCCTTCTAGTATGTGCTGGGTTATCATAGCGACACACAACGAAAATTCACAGTCAAGGATAGCGCTTTTACGCGGAATGATGAGATGAACGCCGTCTACGACGACGATCACAACCGACGCCATGTTTGCGGACAGAAGCAGCCGGTCCGCGACCGGCATGCAACGCGTGCGAGCACTTCTCGACCTGCGATTGGTCTGTCGTTGCGGTTTGTTTCCAATGCAGCGGAGGGACGCACGCACGTGAACGACACGTGCGTGCGTCCCTCCGTCGCTATGGAAACTGAAACCTCTCTCTTCGCTTCTCCCCGCTCCTTCGAGCCCAGGTTTGCCCCGCGAGTGCCGCTTGCGCCGTCAGCGCCGTTATCAAGTGTCGCACAGGGAAGCGTGCTCGCTGCTCCGGCCGTCAGCGCAATCGGCGGGCTGTGCCAGAAATCACACTATAACCGGTATTTCCCTTCGCGCGCCTGCATTTTAAGCGGTATGTAATTACATGCAGTTCTATGGGAGACGAAGTGGTGGTTTAAAAAAACCGCATTATACCCGGTCCTGCACTATAAGCGGTTACGTTGTAAGTGGTCTATACTGTATTGTCACGTATAGCCTTGCCATAGTAGAACTGTAGGGAGTCAATGTCCTTCTCTGTCAGACGACCTCTTCCAGACAATGTTAGTCCATCTGAGAGTCTCTTCCCCTTCAAGCTTGTCTTCATGTTTCCGAGTCTGGTGCCCATACGCTTTTGCACATGCCCCACACACTCGTGTTTCTCCACATCTTTGTTGTACGGCTTGGATTCCTTCACAGCGAGGAACGCCTTGCTGTCCCCGTCACCAATATACGTGGTATACATCAGGCCATGCTTTTCAATAGATCGTGCATAGATCTTGACAGCCCCTGCAGCTTCCATACCTCCGGATGATCAACTATGTGTAACCTTGCACTCTTGTTGGTTGTTATCTGTGTGCTGTTTCCGGGCACAGACATGGCAGAACTTAGTCTCCACTTCACAGTCGAGCACTTTGCCCGTGTCTGCTGATAGGAGTATGACAACACCATGCAGAGATGAATGTCCTCTCTTCACCCATGTTCCATCCACAGTGACGGCTATTTCTTGGTGTTCATCACTTCTATGCTTTTCATCCTTAATCTCTTCACAAGCCCGAGCCATGCTTTCAGAGACAACAGTTGCTGCTGCATCAAGTAGCCGTGTAGTGTAGGACGCAAATTTTGTTGGAGGTGGTGGCATGTTCAAAACTGTGCACATCACGCGGCCAGCCTGCAGTCCTTTGCCACATGTTTGCAGGGCATAAACAAACCTTTCATTGATCTCAAACATGCCTCTTTGAGATCTCTTGGACGTCTTGAACATGTTCGACTCACCACATTCAGTGCAAGAGACATTTATGGTAGATGCCAATCCACTTTTCCCATCAGCGTCTTCTAGGTGGAAATCACCTTTCTTGCATTTCTTGCATAAGGCAGACTCTTAAATGAAGTCACGAAGGATCTCAATATCAATTGATGAAATCCTAGTGTGCTAGCTTCGCCCACGTTAAAACTGTCACTTGAGTCACTTGCACCGATTTTCGAAAAGCTCGCACTACGACGTGCCGGCTCCTTACTCGTACCCTTCTTCACAAATTGGTTACCTTGGAACTTTCTCTTCCTCGTCCACTTCATAGCCATTCGTGTCATGTTGGGGCACAATAACGCAGAGAAATAACTTTGAAAATCGGCAATATGCAGGCAAAACTGTACGCACAACAAAGAAACAACAGAAAAAAAAACAAAAAAAAAGCTACGCTGCAATACGGTACAGAAGCTACTAGGCAAATTTGCAGTGACGAGTAATAAATATGCAATAGATTGAATGTATTTTATATTTCAAGTAATATTATTTATTATAATAAAAAATATGTTGTCGAAAATAAGTAAAACAACTGTCAAAAATAGGTAAAACGACATATAAACAAACAAGCGTGCCTGCCATTTTTAAATACCAGGGGGCATCGCTTTTGGCGCCATATGTAAATGGCTTGGAGCGCCCGTTCGCGCTCGCTGCTGCACGGTTTTGCTCCTCAGGCTGTGTATAAGTTTTTGGCGCTCAACTCGAGAAATTGATTTTTTTGGTCGGTTTACCCTACCAATCCCCCCTTAGGGTGGTGGTGGGGAATGAATATGAACTTTCTTATATCTAGAGATATCTGAACGAAATTTACAGGGTGTGTTTATAGCACAGACATAAGAGTAACTGCAAAGTTTCATGGAGCTGTGCATATTATTTCTCAAGTTACAAATATTTATCAAAATCGCCCATATGCATTCCTTATCCCACGCCTGGAGAATTTGAAAAAGGTAGTGGCGGCGTAAAATTTGTTATGATGACCCCTGGATAGGTTCCCGAGGGCATAAAAGAGCCCTTTTTTTTAAATTTCTTTGTTGAAAAATTTTAACGCAACTTTTAGTTTTGTGTAGTCAATGAAACCCACATTCATCAAGTTTAATTTTTTTATTATAAATTTTTAGCACAGTTTTCTAAGAAAAGGGCTCTGTCATGCCCTCACAAAGTTATTTGGGAACAGAATAAAAAAGACAGCACAAAAATCCATTCATCAGTTCCTGAGATATCGCTGGGACGAGCAGCCACAGCAGTGAAAAAATCCATTCTGAAAAAACAGCACTTGAAAGTTGCACACAGATTTTCAGCTTTAGAATGACCCTGCAGAATAGTCAGAAGTTTTTTTGCGCACTTTCTTCTTGTTCCGCCTTTCCAACTTCTCTTGATGTCATTTGCTGGCCTTGTGCAGACGTAGGGCATCTTTCTCGGCAGCTCGTTGGAGGGCTAGATGGGCCGGCTGAAGTCCCACTGCGACCGATATTTCTGCAGTTGCCTCGTAGCAGCCGGGCATTGAACCTCAACACCGCTTCATGCAGTGCAGTTTCAATAGCGATCAGCGATGCATGCTGTTCTTTAGGCATCAAAGACCACAGGGCAGAGTGGAAAGACTCAGATGGATTCTGAGTCTTTGCTCCTCAGCAGCACTGAAGCAGAGAAAACTGCGACAGGCGTTGGTAGACGGGCAGCATAGCTGCAGCAACGTAGGCTGGGAGTTTGTGCTTGTGCTGGGGCTGTGGCTCACCTTTTGCCTCGGCAACTCTATGATGGCACCACGATTGAGCTCCCTCCGGGCAGAGTTCCTGGCGAGGCTCCTGGTATGTCGACGTGACATGATGGTAGGTGGCCATAACAGCACGCTGCATCGCTGCCACGTCCTTGGAGTTGTTTCGGAGGGCCCAGCCATAGTAGTCGGTAAGCTTGTCGATGAGGGCCTTCGTCAACCTGTCCTTACCGCTCAACTGCTTGTCGCTGTTCTGGACAGGGTTGCGCAGTGCCGTTCCCATTCTCTTCTGAACATGGTTCAAACACTCTTCCTTCACGATGGGGACTAGCCCGTAGACATTCTCTTCTGTAAGGGCGGAGAAGGTCCTGCTGTCCTCGTCGGAGGCGAGTGGTGTATACCGCAGGTCGTGCTTGGAGAGAGAGCGCTTGAAGAGGGTCAGGGCCGCCTCGACCTCCATCCTCCCAGATTTGGCGTCCGTGTTTTTCTGGCAGACATGATGCATGTGCCAGCTGTCATACCCTTGATCTCCAGGCTTGGGTCCTGTTTGGCACCCAAGGCACAGGTTGGATAAAACCACGGCGTCCAAGATGAGGCCTGTGTGGTATTCTATGACTGACCCGACTTCGATGTGAGATGTGTGCCCTCTCGTGTGCCATGTGCCGTCGTACACCACGGTGATATCCTTGCAAAACCCCGGGTCCATCTTCTGACAGGCTGTCTTCACCGCGACAGCTGACTCGGCATAAAACTTTTTCATGCATAGGGCCTCTGGCTCTTTGAAAGTCTTCTTCAGGTGCTCCTGGAACGTTTTGTGGTGGAGACCTCTCTGGGAGACGTTCATAGCTGCCCAAAAGTCATTGAGAGCTGTCTGCCCCTTTCCTATCTGCTTGATCGCCATGATGGAACGGATGTTGGCTTCGAAGGCCCTCGAGCCTTGTTAGCGTGGCTAAGTCCAGGAACCTGCAAGAATGCCGCAATAGGGGCATGCGACCTCAAGTTTTGCTGCCAGTCCGAGTTTGGTGCCTTCTTGGTCTGTCAATCCAGTCCCCGAGCAATGCTTGCACACTGTGCAGCAAAGCAGGTTGCTCAAAACGTCGATCTGAACAAGGCAGAACTTCTCACCTTGGCTTGTAGCAGAGGCAGGTGGGGATTGGGCAACATGGCTTCAAACTTCCTCTGGGTTGTGTGGTCGGTTTGCCTTGCTGCATACCCGACCCGAGGAATAACACGGAGCCAACGGTTTCAACAACAAGAAACTACATTTAATTGGACATGGACAAGACGATTAACATTGCTACCGGCGCTGCCGGAGTCCAAGCAGCGACTCCCCGTGCGCCGCCTCTGATCTGCCTTATCAAGGCGGCGCATCCGATGTGCGCGTGGCTGGCGTGACGTCGCCGCCACGCGAGAAAAGTTCGGCTTGAGCCTCGCAGTCGGGCAACTTGGCTTGGGAGCCGCCAGGGTGCCCACACTTCCCCCCCCTCAAGCTTCGTCCGGCATGTCGATGACGGAGACGTTGTGGGCGTCAGGGGGTGGATGGCGCTGTTAGGCGGACTGACGTTGTAAGTCCGGCCGGCGCCTGCTGGACGAGCGCGGCGGCTGCTGACGAGCGCGGCGGCTCGGTCAGCTCCAGCTTGTCGCTTGTTCGGGATCAGGGCTCCACCAGGTGGCTGCTTTGCACGTGGTCCTTGATCCTAGCCAGCTGCTGCTCCGTCCTGTAGAGGGTGGCCGCGGTCCACGATGAGACCGGCCGCCGTGTCGTTCAGATGGCGGGTGTGGCGACGGTTTTGTCCAAGAGTCAGCTTCGTAGAAAACATAGAAGCAGACGACATGGGACTCAGTTGAGGGCTGAGCCTGACGTTATCTTCGGACCCCTTCCAGAAAGTTTGAAATAACGGATCTGAGGTGGGCACACAATCTTCTCCCCCCTCTCTTGAAAAAGGGGCAGATCCGTGGAAGTAGAAAACTACCCCCAAAATGCGAAAGAGGCCAAGGAGACAAAAAAAAAGTTCCTCTCTCTTTGGTGTCACCGACGTCGCAGGTTATACCGCCGCCTTGGTGGAGACAAGGGGGTTTCCGGAACGGGACTGCCGTCAGTGTCGTTCCGGTCCTGCGAGGAATCTTCGTCTTCTGCTTGAAAAAATCGTTTAAGGTCGGTGACATGAACAGGTCCGGTTTCCTCACTAGACTCACAGTTAACTAGTTTGTAAGTGAGTGGCGAGCACTTTTCACGCACGCGAAACGGACCTTCCCACCTGTTGGCGAGGGAGGCTGCGAAGCCTCGAGCGGCGTCACTCAGTGGGTGAGTACGCCGGAGTACAAAATCCCCCACCTCGAACTGCAAGTCACGTCGCCCCCGGTTGTACTGTTCAGCCTGCTGTACCCGGGCGACGTCGAGATTTTCTCGGGCCTCTCGAAGGTTATCGGAGAAACGTTTTTGCAGGTCCTCTGCGAACTTCACGTAGGGGCGAGGCCTTCCTCCAGACTCTGTAGAAAGGAGGCTGTTAGAAAGCGGGAATGCGAGCTCCTTGCCGAAATTTAATTGGGCAGGAGTGAGACCCGTTGACCGATTATTGGTTGTGCGGGTCGCGAATGCCAGCTCGGGCAGTTTCGCGTCCCAGTCCTTGTGGCGCTCGGTGTAGGCCACTAGCATCATCTTAAGGTTTCGATTTACCCTTTCCGTGATGTTTGCTTGCGGGTGGTACGGGAAAGTTCTTTTGTGCTTGATTCCCAGCACCGCGCATGCGTCCACAAACACCTTACTCGTGAGATAGGAGGCATTATCGCTTACAAGCTGTGCGGGAAAGCCAAACCTAGCGAATGTTTCGAGTAGACACTCCCAGATTTTTTGCGAATCTAGCTTCCGCAAAGGGAATAACTCGACCCACTTCGTGAAGTGGTCGGTTACCACGAATAAGTACTGATTACCCCGGGTACTACGTGGGAAGGGGCCCATGACGTCACAGCAACAAATCTGCCAAGGGCTGACTCGCGATTGGTTGCATGAGACCGGGGGGCTGGCCACCACGTGGTTTTGCCTTCTGGCACACCGAGCAGCTACGAGCGTATCAGAGCACATCCTGCCTCATGCCTGGCCAGGTAGCAATTTGGGATAACTTTCATAAGTCTTGCTCCCACTGCTGTGTCCTGCCAAGGCAGAGTCATGCATGTATCGGATGAAAAGCTTACGTAGCTTGCGGGGTATCACGGTCCGGAACGCCGACAGGCAAGACGTCTGGCACCGTGGTGAAGTGGGCTGCGGTGGTCGGGTTAGGGATGCAGTCCTCTCTTTTGGTAAACGGAGTCAGCTCCGGTTGTTGTCCCAGCCGGTATCCACCACCAGAAAAGTCGAGTGTCATGCTTTCGCCTGTAATGAAATCTCGGCCCAAGATCACGGGTACCACAAGTCCTGGCATATAAAGAGATCGCTGACGTCGCTTCTTTCCATTAAACCGAATCTGCAGCCTCACGGCTCCTCCAGCTGTTATCGCTGTACCAGAAGCTAGCTGCAAACGGGTTTCGCACTCCCGGAGGCTTATCTTTTTTGCTTTGCAGAGTTCGAAAACGAAATCCCCTATGAGCGAGATAGCGGCCCCAGAATCCAAAAGTGCGGCAATGGGAAAATCGAGCAGTGATATTGTCATGCGCGGTTCAATGATGTTAGGCTCGGGCTGGATTCGACATACCGATGGAATCTGTGCCGCGGCCTGACCGCTCCCAGGGACTGCACCGGCCGTCGGCGAGTGGCTGTCTGGTTTCAGCGTCGCCGGCCGTAGTAGTTTCCCTGGTTGTTTTGGTTCCGGCCCTTTGCCGCCGTCTCGTGCCACCTCTTGTTTGTAGTGTCCAGAAGCCTTGGACACTGCTTTCGGTGATGGCCGGGCTGCTCGCACTCGTAGCAGCAGTCCGACGACAGTTGCCTGCTTAGGCCACCCGCACCGAGGTGCCCGTCAGACCGCCTCCAGTGATCGGATAAGGAACCACTATGGGAGGGCCTCCACCAGGCTTGCGACTGGCTGTTGTGGGGAGGGCTTGTTCCGTTGCGGCGGGGGTCAATGCTGCTGGGCTGCGGGTTTGCGACCGCACCGTGCCAGTTTTCGCCAGCACTTGCAGGAGCAGACTGATGAAGATGGTTCGCTTGGGTGGTGATCTCCGTTGGGCCCCAGCTTGCGATAGGGCACGGCCAACGACCTCCCACCTGTCGTGGCGACCCCCGCCCGAAACCCTCACGGGCCTCGCTGTGACCTCCGGGGACCTCTCGGGGAGAGTTAGGCGAACATACGCTTATCCCGCACGGGATATCACCATGCATGCCACGCCAACTCTCCTGGTTGACGTGGTGGGGAAGGGAGGTCTCGTTCGGACAGTCCACTTGCGTGGAGGCCTCGGGGCCCCACCATGCGCATGCCGGCTCGAGCGCGTACTTGGCTGGTGGCGGCGGCACGTAGTTCCGCTCGGCATGAAGAGCTTCCTCGATGAGGCGGGCGCCCCGGGCTAGCTCTTCAAGGGTCTCAAAGGTGCGGTTGATCAGGTAGCCATGGTACCTGGGGTGACACAGTCTTCTGACCCGAGCTACTCTGTCCGATTCCGGTAACTTCGGGTCCGCCCTCTTGAAAAGCTCTTGCATGACCCGAATGTACCGGACCAGACTTTCATCCGGGCGCTGCGTCCTGCAAGCATTCCTGCAAGCACAAAAAAAGAAACGCCCCCAAAAACCCAACACAAGCGCGCAAAACGATTGCCGTGGTCACAGAAACACAGTCAGAAACACGCCAATACAACAAACGTGGACGTGACGGAAGCACGAAACAACGATAGGAAACACGGGGAATATGAAAAAGGCTTACCGAAAGAAGAAACCAAGCCCCGTGAAATTCCTGCGAGTGGGTAGCATACCACGGTTGGGCGCCATTGTGGTCGGTTTGCCTTGCTGCATACCCGACCCGAGGAATAACACGGAGCCAACGGTTTCAACAACAAGAAACTACATTTAATTGGACATGGACAAGACGATTAACATTGCTACCGGCGCTGCCGGAGTCCAAGCAGCGACTCCCCGTGCGCCGCCTCTGATCTGCCTTATCAAGGCGGCGCATCCGATGTGCGCGTGGCTGGCGTGACGTCGCCGCCACGCGAGAAAAGTTCGGCTTGAGCCTCGCAGTCGGGCAACTTGGCTTGGGAGCCGCCAGGGTGCCCACAGTTGCTGGCATAGCTCCAAGTTCGGCTTGAACGGTATCACAATGTCTAGCTTCTGCTTCGATCTCCTCACGTGTCAGGAAATGCGTCCGCAGATGGGTGCTGGAAGACGCGCTCCCATTCCGTCGGGAGACTCCTTTTTTCGTTCTCGACCTCAGATCTCTAATAGTGGGTTCTGCTTCCTGTTGTGCGATCAGAGAATCGCGATCGACACCCAGCAGTTTCTGCATTTCACCCGGCTCGGGGGTAACACAGAGGCCTTCGGAACCCTCCATGTCGAGACATTCTTGAGCCTTCCCTTCCGAGGTTTTCTCTACCGGTGTTTCTAGTTCTTTTCGCCTCTCTGGATCACCCATGACAGCCGAATGCGCAGCGTTCAAAGGCGGGGTTCTCCCGTTGGGAACATCTGCTTCATTTCTGTACTCTAGTTTTGCTGCCAAGTCTCGGGCTTTAGCCCTAGTTAAGGCTAGGTCGGTTCCCTCGCAAAACGTTTGGCCTCTCTCCCGCAGCAGCTCCTCCGACCTGTTAGAAAACAGGTACGGATACCCCAACGGGAGATTGGTCGACACGGCCGCCTCCGTCTCAAGGGTGCCGAAAGGACCCTCGCTGCGCACCCTGGCGACCGGCAGGCACACGCTATGCTCTTCGACCACCTGTTTGATTCATGCGCACTCTCCCGTGAACTTCGTAGAGTCCACGTAAGAGGGGTGAATCACATTCATAGTGGCAGCCGAATCGCAAAGCACTCTGCACTGCCTGCCGTTCACCGTTAGGTCGCGCAAATATGGCTCTATTAACCGGAGGTTCTCTTCGCCATCGTTTACGTAGGCGAAGACCACCTTGGGCTCTCTGCATCCGACCCCAACATGACCGGGCTTTTGGCAGTTATACCATGTTAGGGGCCGGCGAGCCTCAAACGACTTCTTTTTCTTGTGATCCGCCCTGCCATCAGCGCCGTTGCCGGCCTCTCCTTTCGTTCGC